ATAGTTGAAATAAAACTGACACCAAATGGTAATCCACTTTGCTTGGCTAATGGACCAACATCGCCAACATTATTGGACACAAAAGGAAAATGCAACAATTGTTTTGACATAAAAGCTAATCTAGGGCTTATAAGTGACCCAAGTACCGATGCCATAACTCCATAGGTGAGAGCACAAGGTTGCAGAACCACTGAGGATGGTCAGACTTTGTAGGACCCCAGGCCACCAAGTAGTACATCCCTCCTCTTCGCTTACCTAAACCAATCATTGTCCTCATTGTTAGGTCCTAAATGAAACACCAAAGGAAAAAAAGTTGCGGAATAATGTAATCCACTTGTAATACGACTCACTGACATCAAATCTACTTAAAAGTAGGCACACATAGCACATTTTACAATTTAAAAGTAGAACTCAAAGGAATGTGACTAATATAAAGTATGCGGGCTTGCTTTCCACTAGGCAACAAAATAGAAGACATTTTCATATTTTTAACACCATCAGTAAGCAATTCTGGTGTAGAAGTGATATGATCTATTGCACCACTGTCGATTATCCATCAATGGAGGAGCAAAGGTGATTTCGACAAACCTGTCTAAGTTGCATTAGCATGTGGAGCATCACTTCCCTGGCCATTCATAATTCGACGAATTTGTTGAAAGTGGACGTCAACTCTTTGGTAACTGCATTTTCCGAGACTTGATTAGTTGAGGAAGAACTATTTTCCTTCTTGGGACGATTGTTCCCTTTTTGTGGCTTAACCTCATGCAAACGATGGCCTAGTGGATACCCGTGAAGTTGATAACATGTATCAATGGTATAGTAGTCTTGATCGCAATGAGTGGAATGCAGAGGTTTGCGATTATAATAGCATGAAGAATAAGACAACTTCGAGCCACCTTGAAGAACAGTCATAGCTACTGTGTCTGCAGTAACTAGTGAAGAAGCAAGGCTCCTTTGCTTATCCTCCTAGGAAATGGATGCATAGGCCTGATGAACTGTAGGTAGAGGATTCATCAATAAGACCTGTCGTCGAACGACACCATATGAGTCATTAAGTCCCATGAGAAACTGCATCAATATGTTCCTCTCATTATGTGCTCTACAAGTGCAGGAAACAAAGTCACTGTAGGATAACAATTCATCCCACAAACTCTTCATCTTCGTGTAGTATGCAGCAATGGAAAGTTGATCTTCTGTAAGTGAAGCAGTGTCCCATTGCAGTTGGAAATTTTAGGGAGCATTACTTTGAGAATATCGCTCAAGCAATTCCTCCCAAATCGCATAAGCATCAGCATAGAAAGGATACTATCAGAAATATGAGTAAATGGAATTGATAATCCATGCAACGATCATGTCGTTGCATTTCTTCCACAAAGCGTGATCGTCTTGCTTTGTCTTGAAGGAAGGCTGCGTGACAGTGCCATCAACAACACCAAGTTTGTTTTTGGCACTCAGTGAGATCTTCATGGCACGAGACCAGGTAGAATAATTATCCTCATTCAAGGGTTTCGAAACCAACATCATGGATGGATGATCAGAATGATTGATGAATAATGGGTTGGAAATATCAGCCCTGGCGTTGGAACTGCCTCAAGAATTCACATTGGTGGCCATGGTAGACGACGGAAAAAATGAGCTATGTGAAAATAGCAAGATAAATGGCAGCGAAAAGAACTAGGTTTTCAGCCTAGCTCTCGATACCATGCAAAGAATCGGGCAAAGAATATTTTGCAGAAGCAATTTTCTTCTATTGATATAATGAGACTTTATACAATGAGAATCCTAATCAAGGAAGTAATGTAGCCTACATTCCAAGATTACAAATAATCACAAATCAATTACAAGTAAATTACAAAGTAGTTTCCTAAACTAAGCCAAGATATCAGGGTTGATACGTTGACTGCTCAACATTGGAATCCCATCAATCCTTCTTCCCAAAAAGAAGAAAAGCAGTGCCTAGAAAAAGAGGTTTGATGAGCTGATCATTGATTCCAATTTTTTTTTTTTTCTGAATAAAGACTGATGAACTGAGAAGTTGTACTTTTGGCAAGAATTGATCATTGATTTAATGAATGGGTTGGGTTGGTGGGGATGGGAAGGAGGGAGAGAGGGATGAGGTGATTTGAGATAATAAATCTTTTGTTTTTTTTTTTCAATTTTAGTTTATGTGGTAACTTTTTTTTTTTTCAAGTTTTAGATTAAAGTTAATAAGAGAAAGTTATATATATTAATTTGGTTTGACACATGGCAAGTTTTGAGTGATAGTGGAGAGCCATTCAGCAAAGTCTAGTGGCAAGTTAAGTTTTTCTCCATGGAAAGCCATTGGTTATCTACCACAATGATTTGATTTACTGGTTTTCAGGATTTTTAGTTGACCGTTTAAACTGTAGAAGAAACAGTAATAACTAATGATGAACGATACCGTTTCCTCACTTCTTTTTTTTTGTCAAAATCTTACGCCTCATCTTACCTGTCCTCATTTTATCGAAAGCATACATAATAACTTACATGACACGGGCATGAAGGTATATCTGTGTCGTGTCGTATAAGTTTTTCTCTTAATAAGGACTTTCATGTCATAGGTATATTGACACTATGACGTTCAGTGTGAGTTATACAATGTAATGTGAACAAAAACTCATACGTGTCCTTGTTAGAAAGAATGGTGTATAAGTTGCTTACAAGTGAAACCAAACCAATAATGCTTTTTTGTTTTGTTTTGTTTTTTTTTTTTTTTTTTCGAGAAACTAGAAATATTATAACCAAGGCAAATCGCCAAGTGAAACAAGGAAATCCGAAGAACGGCAAATATAACAAAAGAAATGTGAGGTCAGGGAATCAAGAGACGCCGCCATAGATGGCACGTACGTCGTCCTGACCACACAAAACCAAACTACTACTATAGAGTACATGGTAATCTGTCTTTATTTAGATTCTTACAAATTAGGATGGGAGTCAAGAGGACATATGTGCCATGTATGGCGGCGTCTCTTGCCCGAGACAATAATATAGGGTAAGCCTCCCAGTAGGCGTTGTCAATAATGCTTAAGGTAGGGCCCTCCACGTGGATCTAATAAAAATTAGAACAAATTTTGGTAAAACTTAATCTGATAGGGTTTAGATTAAGTTACAACTTTTGACCAAAATAGTTTAAGTGAGCCTTGCTTTAGGCAAAAATAAAATTCAACTTTGTAGAACTGAGACTTGTTGAATCGAATTGTGTAGGGTTGCGATTTGTTAAATGTTTTTGGTGGGAGAATCATGTAGATAAACAAATATGTTAAAGTTGGTGATGATTTTTGTTGGAAGTTCAAATAAAACCATTATTACAATATTGGCATGCTGCTAAGCAAAATAAATACCAATAGTTGAAATAGTTGTATTTTTGGCAAGAATTGATCATTGGTGGGGACGGGAACGAGGGAGAGAGGGATGAGGTGATTTGAGATAATAAATCTTTTGTTTTTTTTTTCAATTTTAGTTTATGTGGTAACTTTTTTTTTTTTTTCAAGTTTTAGATTAAAGTTAATAAAGAGAAAGTTATATATATTAATTTGGTTTGACACATGGCAAGTTTTGAGTGATAGTGGAGAGCCATTCAGCAAAGTCTAGTGGCAAGTTAAGTTTTTCTCCATGGGAAGCCATTGGTTATCTACCACAATGATTTGATTTACTGATTTTCAGGGTTTTTAGTTGACCATTTAAACTGTAGAAGAAACAATGATACTACCAATACTAACGACGAACGACACCGTTTCCTCACTTTTTTTTTTTTTTTTGTCAAAATCTTACGCCTCATCTTACCTGTCCTCATTTTACCGAGAGGATACATAATAACTTACATGACACGGGCGTGAAGGTATATCCTTGTCGTGTCGTATAAGTCTTTCTCTTAATAAGGACTTTCATGTCATAAGCATATTGACACTACGACGTTCAGTGTGAGTTATACAATGTAATGTGAACAAAAACTCAGCCATGTCCTTGTTAGAAAGAATGGTGTACAAGTTGCTTACAAGTGAAACCAAACCAATAATGCTTTTTTGGTTTTATTTTTTCTTTCATTTTTTTTTTTTTTTTGGTTTGAGAAACTAGAAATATTATAACCAAGGCAAATCGCCAAGTGAAACAAGGAAATCCGAAGAATGGCAAATATAACAAAAGAAATGTGAGGTCAGGGAATCAAGAGACGCAGTCATAGATGGCACATACGTCGTCTTGACCACACGAAACCAAACTACTACAATAGAGTACATGGTAATCTGTCTTTGTTTAAGATTCTTACAAATCAGAATGGGAGTCGAGGACATATGTGCCATGTATGGCGGCGTCTCTTGCCTGAGACAATAATATAGGGTAAGCCTCCCAGTAGGCGTTGTCAATAATGCTTAAGGTAGGGCCCTCCACGTGGATCTAATAAAAATTAGAACAAATTTTGGTAAAACTTAATCTGATAGGGTTTAGATTAAGTTACAACTTTTGACCAAAATAGTTTAAGTGAGCCTTGCTTTAGGCAAAAATAAAATTCAACTTTGTGGAACTGAGACTTGTTGAATCGAATTGTGTAGGGTTGCGATTTGTTAAATGTTTTTGGTGGGAGAATCATGTAGATAAACAAATATGTTAAAGTTGGTGATGATTTTTGTTGGAAGTTCAAATAAAACCATTATTACAATATTGGCATGCTGCTAAGCAAAATAAATACCAATAGTTGAAATAGTTGTGTGCACAACTATCTTTTTCAACTAGCATGGTTTTTATCCTTCTGCAGCTGCACCTACCAAAAGTAAGGCCGAAATTGTGGATTGCAACCACTGGAATAATGCAGTGTGTGCGCGGAAAAGTCTAAAGCTGCGCATGTGTTTTAAAGGGTGCAAGGACTTTGAACGCCTTCATTTATTTGGTATGTATTAATCTTTGTTTTGTATTGTTTATTAAAACCAGTTGTGTGGTTTTTTATTTTCTGCATGTTTAAGGAAGTCTTCCCCGTAAGGCTTTAGTAGTCCAACTCCAATTCCATTTCCAATTCAACAAATCAGTTTGTAAGGAAGCTGCAAGCGAGAGGTGGGGTAGAGTTCGTAAACTGTAATCAATCTGAACTTCGTATATTACTAAAAATGATTTCGAAGAACTAGCTCATGGACTTTTGCTTAGTAAAGTAAGTTTCATCTGGGTGCTTCGCCCGGACACAGGTTATGATGAAACATGTATCATGCCGGTCGGATTTGAGGACGAGACTAAAGATAGAGGGTTGATGGTGCCATGGTGCTCTCAGATTGAGGTGCTTTTGCATCCAGCTGTAGGAGGGTTCTTAACACATTGTGGATGGAATTCCGCACTTGAAAGCATGTGGTGTGGTGTTCCCATGTTGTGTTTTCCTCTATGGACTGACCAAATCACTAATAGGAAACTAGTAGTTGATGATTGGGGGATTGGACTAAATCTTTGTCATACAATTAAACTCGTCACAAGGGCAGAAGTAGGGGAGAAGATCAACTGTCTGATGTGTGGAAATTCGGGTGATGGATTACCAAAACAGATCAAGAAAGTAAGGCAAACTTTAGAGGATGCATTGGCTGTAAATGGGTCATCAGAAAGAAATTTATCTCAATTCATTTGCGGTGTTAAGGAAAAAATTAGGACACGAGCGTGACTTCCACATTGCCCCTGTAGGTGTTCTCGGAGGCGATTATGCCACTTTCTCTGTGGTGCATCAAGTCCCAATTATTGCTCTAATAATCGACAACCCTTCTACTATGTTGTTGCCCTACTCCATGTTCGTTCGTTCCATTAGCTCAAGTTGTATCTCAAATATTCCGGAACTAATCATAAGTTTAGCTCCACTACTTTGAGAACATTAAGTGACACCTTTTTTACTTCAAAAACAGTTTTGCGCCTTGACCCGATGGAGCATTTGAAGCGTGGATTGTTCTATCTGTTACGCTCTTTTCTGTTCTGGACTTCGCATGCTATCGATCATACTAGTAAATATGCCCACGCGTTGCTACTAGGCTTGAATGCACCAACCTTAATAACATGAATAAGACACATTTAACCTTAAAAAAAAATACCTGTATTTCACCTGATTTTTCAATGACATACAGATGCTTGTATTTCACCAGTACATAGCTGCCTGACATTTGTTGTCTTCTTCGGGTTCAAGATCCTTGTATTGTCTGAGACGTGAACGAATCAGAAATCGTATATTCTCTCAGAGAGATAACAAAGATACCAAAAACAAAGAGGCAATGTCACATTGTTTTGCATGATCTTGAAAATTGGGGATAAGGTATTCAAAGTGCTAACAAAGACGTGCAAATGGTATTGAAATGCTAAAAGGGGCATTTTGAATAATTATATGATGCGGCAGTTGATACGTACCTATTACATCAATTACTATGACTAAATGACGCATCAATTCCATCATTATGCAATAAAAAAAACATAGGGCTAACGAATATAATCAATCATTCTAACATTCTTCCTAGGTTATCCAATCTAGATGATGAAAATAGCTAATTTCGTTGAGCAATTAACCGGCTTAGCCAACCCTTCCTAAAGAGATATTCTTCATGCTTCACGTCTCTTAACTGGAGCTGTAATAGAATTCTAGCATAGTATCCCAAATGCTATTGAATTGAATGACGAAAATGCCGAATTTCTAAATAGCTCATCAGTATACTTGTGATTTGTGAATGAAGGTTTTGGATTGTTTTGTATTCATGAATAACAATCATATGCTTGACAATTATCGTGCTAAGTAATTACCAATCACATATTTAAAATCTAGGCATAAAAGCTTTAGAAAGATAAATAAAAAATCCATATAACTAAATAGGCTTTGAATATGCTATCAGGGCACATAATTTATACCTAAAAATGGCAACGAACCAGCTTCTTCCTCCCATGACCCGAGTTTCTGAAATTTCCAAAGAAAATAAATCCATTAGCAATTGAGAGAAATTCGAGATATACAAATCAAAAAGCAGAGGTGCAGAATGTTCAAACCTAATTACACCAGAATCTCAAAATGACCGATGCCCCGGAAATAGCCATGCCCGATTGCGCCTCCTCGTTCCCAGTTTGCTCTAAAATGGGGGTTTGACTCATAGTTTGCTCTGCAATGGGAGTTTGACTTATAGTTTGATCTGCAATGGGAGTTTGAGTTATAGTTTGCTCTACAATGGGAGTTTGAATCTTGACCGAATAAAACTATTGATCGAAATTGTTCTATTTATTAATAATTGTTCAGAGATATAATCATACCAAACAGAAAGACTCAATCCATTGCTAACATCAGCAACCCTAATTTCCTACCAAAAAGAACTTAGCTTAGTAGATTTCTTAGGAAACGATTCTTAGTTGCTGTGAACCACGGACTACACAACTGAAACAGAATCAGATTAAATAAGAGCACTTTGAGTAAAGAAAACAAAGTGAAATCTGTTTTCCATGCAAAGAATCTCTTCGCTCTCCTGCTGAAGACAAAAGATGAAAGATGCAAACAAAATATAACAATATAAACATAAATTAAATATAACTCAAAAATACAAATAAAACCAACAATAATCAGCAAACAAAAACCCTGAACATTCAGATTTTTCAGATGAAACCCAATTTCCACACAATAAATTCAAAATCCCATCAGAGAAAATCAAATGCTAAATCCAAAACCTGCATTCTCATAAAAATAAAAATAAAATAAAATAAAAAAGGTAAAAATATCTGTACAAAGAAAAACCCAGAAAAGTAAAAAAGAACTTGAATACCTGAGAATGCGTGGAGCCGATGAGCCAGAGGCAGTGGCGGTCGATGTCGCGCAAGTCGTTCTTGGCTGCTATGAGCTGACTCAAAGGGGATTTGTTGGGCTTTTTGGCGGCGGTCCACCATGGGCCCTCGTACTCGGCCACCTTCATTTGCAGGCGAGAGAAAGTTCTCCACATTTTGTGAACTCGAGGCCTAAATTGGAGGCCATGGTTGAGAGAAATTGGATGAGGGACAGCTAGGGTTGAGAGAAATTGAGCGGCTAGGGCTTTTTTTTTAAGAGAAGATGAAATAAATGAGAGATTATGAAGAAGAATATGGGGGTGAGCAGCGCTGGGGCTAGAGGTTGAGAGAAATGAAGAGAGAGAAGTCTCTTGAATTTGAGAGAAATGAGAGAGAAACTACGCATCTGTGTAAAGGGGAAGGATTTGCAAACCCCTGAAATCCCTCTCTCTGCAACGGGCACCCTACCTAATATTAATCAGAACGACTGACCTTCGCAAAGAAATGCACAAATCGGTTTACAATCAAACGCTGACCTTCGCAAATACTAATTCACAAACCCTAAATCCCTAAACCAGGAATTCACATAATAAAAAAAATAAAAATAAATAAAACTCTAATTCAGAAATTACCTAATCTTTTGCAGGATGATGGTATGGTAGTGTTTTCGATGGCGGTGATGGGGCAGTGGTGGTCGCGACGGTGGTGATGGGGTGACGATGGTGAATCGTGATGGTCTGAGCTGCATAACCGTGAGCAAGCGACAAAGAAATCAGAACGCAAAAACCCAAGCCTGTTTTCGACAGCGGTTGCGGATTTGCGAATGCAAGAATTTGAACTTCCATAAACCCACCATTGTAAAAACCCCAAAATCCCGAGATTTATACGCAAAAAAACATAATTTGAAAACCAAAGACCAAGGTTAACCGATATAGCAGAATAATTCAACAAAATATGTGCAAATAGTTTATACCAAATCCAAATTCCTAAAATCCACAAAACACAAACCAGAAAATACATATCCAACATCACAGAAATTAGAGAATCTTGAAAAAAAATTGAGGTCTAATTCTCTTTTTCACAGAGATGAAAATCTAAATAAGGATTCCCCTTGATTAAGCTCTGAACGAAAAAAGGTGTATGATTATATACCTCAAAATGCGAAAGAACCAAGTTCTCACTCCAATGATCCAAAATTCTAAAATTCTGAAACATAGTAAATCCATTAGCAATTCTCAAACATGCTAAATTTAGACAGAAGGTAAATAACCATAATCCAATAATCTAAGAACGTGTCAATTTAACAACCATAATCCAGTAATATGGGACAACCACTATCCCTCCCCAACCCCAACAAACCCCCGCGCCCCCCCCCCCCCCCCAAAAAAAAAAATAATAATTAATTAAAAAAAAAAAAGTTGGTCTGATGATTGACTACACTTAGAGTCCATTGGGATTTTAGGGTATTCTTACAAGTTCCAAAAACTGGGGTAGTTTTCTTGTTTGCAGTCTTTTTTTATCAAGACTTATGGAATAAATTAAACACACAAACATGTATAGACACATAGAATAGATTAAACAGAAACGACTACCTCATCATACAACATTAAAAATAAACCAACCCACAAATGAGTTTGGTTTGCTGCCAAGTTGAAAGCAAACAGCAGCAGGAATTGAAGGCACCAAGTTTAAAATATGAGAAAACTCAAACCAGCACGCAACTGAGCTAAATTCAACTACATGGTTCGGTTTTGTCGACCCAATTTCATAAAACCAACTACCAAACCAACATCCATTTTCACTTCATTCAATGGTTAAAGAAAATTTTGGCCAACTCATGTTGAAAAGGAAAAGAATGAATCGCTGATTAGGAACATGGATAATTAACTAATTAAATCTAAATGCATCTAATTCAGCATCAATTCAACAATAACTTCTTCTGGTTTCAAGAACTCATCTCTTACATAAGAGTAATATAAACCGCATTTTTAATTACCTAAATGAGGAAAAATTAAAACAACCAAATCAATGTTTATTTTCTTCCTGTTCCATTGTTTTATCGGCAACCAAACAGTTCGGGGAAGGAAAAGGATTGAACCCAATAAGCAAAATCAAAACTTTTTTCTGCCAATTCATTCTCTTCACCCAGAAGAAGAAGATTAAACTGACAGGAGATAAACAGACAGCATTTTGTGGATTCTTTAAACAGTACCAATTACAATGTTATCTACTCACACCACACCACACCACAACACTGGAGAGTTAATTCATTCCAAATAGAAATTAGAAACCAACAAACTGGGAAAAAGGAAGAAAACAAAAATCTGTTAAAATTTGAATTTATCCCCAAAAGCCAAGTCCTCCCACTCAACAAACAATCTCCATCGTCAAAACTGTTTTCTAAATATTCCTATCGTCAAAACATGAAAATACGAAGTTGCTAAAAACCTAAAACTCAATCTTCTTCATATATGCACAGAGTAACAGCTGATTTACAAAGGAAATTAAATATAAGAGCATAGCTAATAAAACAGAAAAAATATAGAAAATGCACCTCCACGGTTTGGATTCTATGGGCTTTCCAATCAACAATTCCTCCCAATTTGAAAACAGCTTCTTTAACTGATTCAAAAGGAACAATTGTATCAATAAGACCTCTGTTCTTAGCACTCTTAGGGGAATCAGTGACTGCCGATTTTCTTGCAGAGAAGCTAGCAAACTTTGATTGGGTGATGAGACTACATTGTTCACAAATGCCAGCTTAGCACTCTTATGAGAATAAATGGCATCAGCTTCATCATTGCTAAAAAATCTTTAGAAAAGGAGAAAAAAAAAAAATACTGCCTATCAGATCGAAAAAAATACTGCCTATCAGATCGGAGGAGACATAATCGAGCAAATCGGGGGAGATTTTTACCTGTGGACTTACAGCTTCTATCAGACTTCTGAGCTTCATCTTCTTCCATCATCGTGATTCTGCAAGCCGCAGCTCTCTCGAAGCTCTCTCTCGTAAAACCAAAATTGCAATCTGAACGGAAATGAAGAGGCGGTCGCAAATTTGTAAATAACGTGAAATCCAAAAAAAGCAGGGGGCTGTACGCGGCTGGCGAGACTGAGAATGGCTAGAGAGAGAGAATCGGTGAGGGATTTGAGCGAAATTACAGAGTTGTGCGGTAACCCATTCCTCCCTCTGCCATTCTCTCCTCACCGACCCTGTGCGGTAACCCATTAACCCCAAAAAAATGCACACAACCATGGTTTCTCCTCTCTCTCTCTCTCTCTCTCTCTCTCTCACAGTCGAAACCCGTAGCTCCCATCTCTCTCCAATCTGTCAGTCCCTCTGTCCCCCTCCTCTCTTCCCCCCAACAACCCTCTGACCGATGCATCAGCCACAGGACACCCACCAGCACGTCCCTGCCGAAAACCCAGATACAGTCGAAACCCGTTCTTAAGCCCAGTGGCAATCTTGTAAATAAAACGAAAATTGGGCTGAAATCAGACCGGTGGCAAGCTCGTAAATAAAGTGAAATGTATCCAAAATTGCACTCCCCCTACTTTAGACTAAACTAGAAAATGTGTCCGCACGTTGTTGCGAGACTTGAATGCATCACGTTGAACTCCATAAATAAAGTACATTTTACCTAAATAATTCAGTACCATCATGAATGATGTGAGGAATAAATGAGTAAATGAGTTGGTAAGATATGTAGCTTTGTTTTTATACACATTCAACTAAGCTGGTTTGGAAAGACATTGCACGATGAACAGGATGAAACAAAATAATTTGGTTTCCTAATAAACAAAAGTAACATGTAGTTAACACAAATCTTGCTCTTGTAGTCAAGGTGGGAAAATATATATCTTGTAGGTTAGGCACATGTTTGAACAATTGACAAAAAACATAAAAACTGTTTTGTTCTTAGTTTATCATCTAAGTTTTCAACGACAAACGTGCAAAGCAAAAAACAAGCAGGACGCTTGTTTCCGTAAGAAATATATGTAACATGTAGTCGATAGATATTTTGCCCTTGCAATTAAGATGACAAAATATATGGCTCGCAGCTGAGTTATCTATTTCAGTAGTGAACCAAAAAAAAAAAAGTGTTTTGTTCTTGTTCAAACAGCTAAGTCTTGAAGCAAAAATGTTGAAAGCTAAAAACATGTAGAACACCCTGCAGAAATCGATCATGGAGATTGCGACGTTCACTTTTTGTGAGAGGGGACATCTTCATCACTATAGCAAAGAATATAAATAATAGTTTAATAATTGTTGGTATGATTTTAATAATTGTTAGTATGATGTTTGTTATGTAGGTGTATGCGTGAAAAACAAATAGTAATTTACCTTTCTTTAGTTTTTTTTGGTTTGAGAGTTTGTTTTGAGTGTAGCTATCAGCACTTTGTCTGCTGGTTCAATTTTGGGACAACCAGATTGTGAAATTCTCTAGCGATTTTGGCAGAATTAGTTGTCTCTGTTTGGTCGTTGCGAGATTTTCTGTTGTGAATCAAGGCATAAATTTATAAGGTTAGAGAGAATTGTAAGAGTGACGAAAGAGTGGTGTGAAAGTTCTTAAAGAGTAGCAATACATTTTTGTATACCCAAAAGAAGCATAGTTTGTAAGATTTACACATGAGATCATTAAGCAAGAGGAAAACTTTACCTATTAGATTTGTTTGCTTGATCAAGAAATAACGCTCTCTTTGAAGTATTTGTGGGTGTAGCTGATTGGGGTTGTTGATATAGTCACTGGGAAGGTGTCAATGGGATGGGGGTTACTTCAGTCATAATTTGTTTTCCTGCGATGGTAGCAGTTGTTTGTGGTGTGACAAAAGCAATTGTTGGGCTTGAGAGAGGTTGGTTTTGGAGTAGTCCATGAACAACGAAGTTAGTGTTTTGATTTCCAAAAGAGAGTTGGAATTGTTTTGTCTCGCCGATCAAATTATTCAAAGCTGGCGGAACTACGAAATGATCCTTATATCCATCTTCTATCACCAGAGTGTGGCAAGAAACACGAAGTATTTTTTTAGCATGCCTTCCTATCATGAGGAAGTTATGTTGATTCGTGCTATCTTCCACAATAAGATCTATTTTGAACCTAGGTAAGATGAGGATATTTGGTTGTTAGTGAAACATTACTGCCAATATCAATCTTGTAAGCAATCTAGCAAATGTAGTAGAATCATAGTAATGTAGGGTATACATGTATAAAATTGACAGAAAGACACAAATTATTTAGAAATAATTTATTTTGCATCAACATATTGTGCAGAAAAAACAGTGTATGTTTCAAAGTTTGAGTTAATGAATCATGGAACAATATAATAAATTGATTTTAGCCCCTAATTCTATAAAATTGAAGTACAAATGGAAATGACGGTTCCCAAACTTTGGAAGGCATACTTTAACAATTAATATGATGTTCTAAAGTTGTGGACTGGAAGTTTAATTTCAAACTATTAAACACGTGTAAATATGAATTACCATGGATGTACACCATAGGGGTATCGTTTGCATACATGAAGGATCATTTATGTATTATCATTATGGTTGTTCTGGAACTCTTTAGTTCTTTAAAGGTGTGAAAAACAATATAGGTGCAGACTACCGTAACACATTATAGCAGATATATTTACAATAATGCTAATAATATACCCCCAAGGGTGAAATAGTAGTAACAACGTAATGATTGAGGAGACGATCTTTATTTGTCATAATCGTAAGATAATAAAGGAGTTAGCAAGTTAATATAACGATTAGATGTAAAATAGGTGTAAAAGTGTATTACCATGGTTCGAGTAATCTGTTTATGAAACCATGTTCATTGCACTCAAACGATTAAAAGTTTTTCTTGACAGCTTTATGGTAGGACAAGCATGATTTGTACCACCAACACTTAGTCAAATCGAATCCAACAATAGTTGCTTGGCATACGAAACTTGCATTATGTTATGGAAACACACGGTTTTCAAATCATTAAAGACATTTAACAATCACTTTGCAAACATGTAGTATAAACAAATAGAGAAAAAAAGCAAGACATGGTCAAGTTAGATGCAGCTCGAAAAATCTGTTTTTTTGGTGAATAGGTTCTTGATGACAAACTAACCTTGTGCAACGTAAGATCAAGTAAGAGCAATTCGTCAATTGATTTTGACTCAAAATTAGCACTGATTGCATGGCCCGTATACGTCTCAACTGAGATGGGTAGGATTTGAACAGGTGATTTGAAATGCTTAAACCTATTTTGTGCATGTTTAGGGTGGGAAAGATTAAGCGAAGAAATATAAATGTAAAAGTTATTAAAGAAGGGTTGTCGAGTTACTTGTGTTTGTATTCGGAGAGCTGTGGAATCTCCAGATTGAAAACACAAACAGTTGATTATGTGCTTCTGAGAACAGATTTTCCTATAAATATAACATAACAATCAACAAACTGATACTTTAAGTAGTTAGATAAGGCATGGCAGGGTATAACCTTGGTATTGTTTTACTTTGAGGCAAGTCAAAGCAACAAAAATGGGTGGCAATAGTGATTGTATTCCAGTGTTCTCAAAGCTTGTTGCAGTCTCTCCCCATAAGGTTATTCTCACTGTTTCGTCTCTGTAAGTAATAGAAAACATGACGGTTTTGTATATGTCATAAATACGGTGCCATATAAATAATATTCAGATTTTAAGGTAAATAGAAATTACCTAATATTTTGCAAGTTAAGATTTCTCTTATTTGCAACTCTTGTGCTTTGGATAGTTATGTCTTTAGTCGACTGCACAACCGTTAGGCAACCAAACACATCTACATATAATATTAAGTGGCGGGAATGAGTGCACACCGAAGCTGACAAAATAATTTAAATAATAATTTAAGATGTTTGTGCGGCACTTGAAACTAAATTTGTTACCTGTAAGCTCAACATCGTTGTTGATTCTCCAATGAAGTTGATCAAGCTCAATTAAATTGAACCAGTGCATTGGGAGCTTTTGACTTGTTTTGTGAACAGGAACAATAGTGGTTTTCCTATTCAATTTGATCATGGTAGCATGAGAGACAACCTTGCTTGATCTCCTATTGTGAATGACACAAAATTTACTGATTTCGTATGCATTGAAGACACTTAGATGATTCAAAAAAAATTAGATGTCTCGACCATTCATGGTTTCATGAACCGCATCTCCCTTTTAGAAGCAAAAATTAAAAAGCGGACATAATGAGTGGTATAACATTTAACGCATAGAGTTTAAGAATCATGTAAACAGCCAATATAACATAGTTGTGGCTACTTAGACAGCATTTAAGATTATATGCAAGATAACAATGGAGATTACTCCAAGAATCAAATCAGTAGCAGTCGAAGCAACCTTGCAAAATCACATTTTGTTTAATTTGTATAGGTTAAGAAACAATGAAAAAAAATTAAGGAAAAGAAGAATTGTTAGTTCATACTTAGTTTTGTTTTTACAGTTATATAAGCTTCCTCACACATAACAAAATATAATATCTCTAGTGAAATGCAATGACAGCAAAAGTGTGCATGGTTCACCATGAAATTTGTGTTTTTTTGAAGAACAAAATTGATTGAAAGCTATGCTATTGTATGGAGAAAATAGGGTTTTCATTTGTTGTCTATCTGCATGAATTTGTTAACCCAACATAAAAATTTATGCTAAGGATGAAGATTGTATTTAGGAAAACAAAGTGTATAATTGGGTAGCAAAGTGTATAAAGTAGTTTGTTTGTGAAATTATTATATGTTTGATCAAAAAGTTTGTTGTACTAAGAACATGGCGTGCACAATTGGATATGTAAAAATGCTATCATTCAACGATAAGTAAAAAGGTGTAAAAATCTTACATCTTTATCAACGAAGACATAATCAAGACTTATAGGTTGAGGATTATCTCCAATGCTTTTCGAGACCCATATTCTGCATACCCTGATCTGCAGTTTGTTTGCTGGCTGGTATGGCATCAGAAAACGAATTGGTTGCTCCTCCATTAATCTACATATATAAACAAATCATTAGCTAATTAAAATCAAAATTGAATAAGGTGATTTAACAAAGAAATGGTGGAGTCATGTTTAGAAAAATAAACAAAAGGATAACTTAATAATGCAAAGTTATACCTTCATGTAAATGTTTTAAAACATCTTTGTAAACTATGTTTTTTGTATAACCGTAGGGCATGTCACTATCGTGAGCAATAACAATTTTGAGACCATTGGTTGAGGTGACTCTGGATAGTGCAACATATAGTTGTCCATGTAAAAAAACAATTTGCGACAGATATAGGCCAACAATTTTTAAGGATTGTCCTTGGCTTTTGTTGATTGTCATTGCATAACAAATTTTTAGAGGAATTGTTGCCTTCGTAAAGTAATGGATATTTATGCTGAGATGATTCAGTAATTATCCTAGGGATACAAA